GTCTTCACGCTGCTCGTGCTGCATTGCATGTTTCTTCAAATCTTCGCACGCCTCTCTCAGGCGGGTGAGCTCCACGTCCTTGATGTCAATGGCTTCGGCCAAGGACTGCATGGTGGCCTCGGCTTTGACGAGTTTCTCCAATAAGTCCTTGTTGGCCTGCTGCTGCCCCTTCAAGTTCTCGGTCAGCTCCACTTTATCGTCGTCCTAAACCGGGATTATTGTTGCGTTAATTATCCCCGATTGCTTGCAGCTGGTAACTTGCCATTTTTCTGAAAACCTCCTGCATGCTCTCCAGCTGCTGCTTGAGCTCCTTGTTTTGCTGGATGGCTCTGGAAGCGGCCACTTTGTCGCTTTCCATTGCCGCTAGTAACTTCACGCTGTCCGGCTGATTGCCGCGAAGCTGTTCGATCATGCTCTCCAACTGAGCAATCGAGTCGGTTTTCGCCTCCAGCTCCTTCATCAGCAGCTTGTTCTCGTTGGATACCTAAAAAGTAGTTGGTCACAACCCCATATTGCTGCCCCCCAACAGCTTACTCTCGTATAGTTTTCTTCAGCGGAGGTTTTTTCGATTTGCAGTTGAACGCACATTTCCCTGGACTTGTCCAAGTCGTGGCGCACATCCGCACTGTGGGAGTTTCGCGTGGCAAAAGTGATCTGGTCGTTCTGCAGCACCTGCAGTTGCTTTTCCAAGGTGCCGATGTGGCTGATCCTACTCTGGTCCTGCAGGACTAGGGTCTCCCTTTCCTGTTGCAGCTGCTCCAGCTTGGAGCCCAGGCTGGAGATTTGGGCTGTGAAAAAGAATGGCAAATTTCCCAAATTAGATCTTCTGCCAGCATCTTCAGCTCACCGTTAAGCTGCTGGGCATACTGCTGGTATTGGACTGTTGATTCATCCCGCTCCTTTATAATGGACTTCAGCGATTGGTTTAAGCTGGCGATTTCACTTTGCAGCGCAAATTTCTCTTGAGTGAGCTGCGCCAGCTGATGGTCCATGCCGGCAGTGCCTCCAGAGGAGAGCTGCTGTATTTTCACTTCGGCCAGCGACTGCTTGCCAGCCAAATCCTGCAAGACATAAATTACAGTTTTTACGCTGGTTTTCTTCTATGGCGGGTGGGACCTTATTCGACTGCTGCAACTGCAGGTTTTCCTCTAGGGCGTTCTTCAGTTTTTCCCTGGCTTCCAACAGGTCTTGCGCCAGCTCCTCTTTCTGGGTCTTCAGTGCGGCGTACTCCAGCTTCAGAGCCTCTAAGCTGGCCCCATATTGTTCGCCTGCACTCTCGAACTTCACCTTGTCGGACTTCAAGCCAGCTAGTTCCCTTTCCAAGTCGGCCACTCTTGTTCTAGAGGCGCGCAGCCTTGCCTGCAGCTCCTCACACTCAGTAATCTTCTGCTTGCAGCTGATTTCATACTGGCTCAGATTAGAGGAAAGCTCAGTTTTCTCAGCCACCAGCAAACCGATGGTTTGCAGATGCGTCTGAAGCTCGCTCTTCATTTGCATGGTTTGCTGGGCGCTTTGAAGCTCCGAGCCCAGCTCCATGCGGCTCAGATCCTCCTCCAGCTGAGCTACACGGGCTTCCAGCTGGGAATTTGCGGCTCGCAGCTGCTCGGATTGAAGCCTTTCCTGGTCCAAATGAGCCGCCAGCTCAATGTTGCGCTTCTCCAGATCGGTGATTGAGCCTGAGGAGTAATTATCATAGTCCGGCTCCATCATCTGCGCCAACTGCTCAGAGAGTTGCTTCAGACCCTCAACGTTCGAGTATTGAATCTCTTTTTTTGTTAAATCGGCTGAACTGTCGATTTCCTGGTTGGTGTGGCAGATGCTGCTCCTTTCTTCTTCAGTTGCTCCGGTGGAACCTGCAAAGGGGCAAGAAAGCGGTAAGTGGCAAGGCCTGAAAATAGTCCTGACTCACCTAAGTAGTCTAATAGTTTCTGACTACTCTGTGGCGAAAATATGTTGTCCAAGTTGTTGTCGCCAGACTGAGCTTCTGGAAAAGGCCCAAATTTTAGTTGATCCGCTCTTGCTTGGGCCAATTCGCTCATTTCCTGCTCGCTTTTCTTCAGTTCCGGATCAATGTCAGAAAGCACATCATCCGTTGCTGCCACTTCATCGGGCGAATTGTGACTGATCTGATCCGGACTAGGGAACAACTGATAGCCTTCCTGACAAGAGTTTTTGTTCTCTGGAATGGTGTTTTCCCATATTACCGCACTACTGTTCAAATTGTCAAAATACCTAGGTAGACCTATATTTTCAGTGGGTTTTTCATCCCGTGTGTTGAAATATGTTAGCAGAGACGGGCTAGTGTGGTCAGATTGTTTTTCTGCGTCGTTTGTGGGCGAAATGCTATCGAAAAATGTGGCTGGGGCTTGATAGTTCGAGGACCCGTAATCGCTGGGTAATGCGGACTCTTCGTCCTGCTCCACATATTGGATACTGGAGGGCACACTCTCCGAAGCATAATTCTGTTGCGAGCCATCAGGGCTTTCTTCTGGAGCGCTAGAGATAGGCGAAACTGTTGCATTCCCTATGGAGTCATCCTGCGGGGGGCGCAGATCACTGGGTGTGTTTCTACTGCTGGATTGGGCACTGTCTGGATTCAAGTTGCCGGCCTTGGTGCAGTCGTTGCGTTTCTTCTTCAATTCCTGCAGTTCTTTGAACTGAAAATAAACCAAAACAACTTTGCTATGACATGTTTGTGATGATGTGGCCGAACTGGCTGAAACACCCGACTGACATTGATGAAAATGGTGTTTATTTGGTGCTTTAGGCGCTAGCGGGTCTCTACAACTAATTGCAACGGAAAAACACTCACTCGTTTTCGTGTATTTGCTAATTTCTGCTTTTTGTCTTCAGCAACATCCCCCATTTTTCCTGAATGTCACCCTGACATCTGCCACTTGTCTTCATCTATGATCTGCCCGTTGGTTTAATGTTGCCAACAAAGTGATAGTTAAGTTCCTAGAAAACCCCATTCGCGCGCAGTTCTTGTCGATAACCTCAATCATAGATGAAGACAACTAATCAATAACCACAAATTATACCCTCTAAGGGGGTATGTTCTGTGTCAATAACATTAACAAATTAAATCAATCGGCGACGTTAGAAAAGATGCTTAAACTTTTGCGAAAAACATAATTATTGTGCATCTAGCGACAAATTTGCAGGTGGAGTTATGAACTGTTGATACCTAAAGCACGATTTAGCAGCAGATAGTTAATCAATTTAAGCATTTTCCACCTGCCACCATCCGTTTTCTGGTAAGATAAACATTTTCTTCTATCACTTCGTCCATTTTTGCAGTTAGAACACAACAAACTGGGTCACAATTGTTTCAACTTATATTTTCCAGATACGTAACTGAAATACAGTTGTTTTACATAAAGGAAGTAGGTAGTTGATATCGGTCAACTGAACAGCACAGCGTCTGATAAATTGTTCGCCCCATGGTTTCCGGCTGCTTGCTTCTTATTTAACCACGTCTTTTTCCTTCTTCGGGCGGCCTTTGGCATAATATGCGTCAAGGAAGAGTCCGAAAAAGACCAGGAAAGCGCCGATCCACTGTCGCTCTGTGAGCGTGTTGCCGAAAAACACCACTGAGCCGAGCACGGTGAAAAACTTGCGAGTTGTGGTTACAATGGACAGAACTAGCGGCCCGAACTCGGACACCTATAAAAGAACCAGGTGGAGATTAGGCTCATGGAGAAGCTGAAGCCTTCGGCTTACCATGGAAAAGATGAAAAGCTGCCCCAGAGCCGAGGCCAGGCCGATGAAGAGCAGCGCGCTACATATCGAGACATTTTCTTTGGCATATTGGAGAAATGCGACGGATTCTCCTGTGATTAGCATCACCGCTATGAGGTAGAGACTGGACCAGCCGTTTTGCATCAGCATCATTTGCAGCCCCGTCGGTTTCGATTCCGCTCTGATTCGTTCCTGGAATACGTAAAAATGATACAACCAGATCGTTTTGATAATCCAGAGATTATTTATTATAGACTGGGAAAGCTCAAAGAAGCGGCCTGAACTGTTCAAACGAGCACCGCGAAAGCGTTAAAACTGCTTCATCAGGATCCCCGATTGCATCTTCTGTTGCAACCAGAAATTTCTTTGAATCGAATTGTTTTGTGTCAAAAATGAGTCCCGAGCCTATAAATTTTTCGCTTCTCACTACCCGAATGTGAAAACGTCGCGTCGTAAAACGCAAGGGCGGATCCAGGGGGGGTCATGGGGGTCATGACCCCCATTCAATTCTCTATCCAAAGGTGCCAAAACGAATTCTGTGGCTCAAACGGTTCTTGAGAAACTTCGAAAAAAGCAGCGTCATGTTCAAGTGGATTTTGCAACTAAAAAAAAAACCACGCAAATCTAAAACTTCTTGAATTCAAGCCTTTTTTGAGAAAACTGCTAACATTTCTCCATTCATGGTTCACTTTCTAAAAAGGCCATTTATTTCTTTCTAGAATGATGTACAAATGAGCGTTTTTGCTCATTTTGCTTCCGAGAAATGAGCAAAAACGGGATGGAAAACATGGAATTTTGGCATAATCTTGCACGTGTCTGATATTCAAATTTCGAATTTCCTCACTCGCTTTGTTACGACTGAATCGATATTTCAATTCTCTATCGAACGATGCCAAAATGAATTATGTGGCTCGAATGGTTCTTGAGCAACTTCGATAAAGGCCATTTAGTTATCTCTGGAACGATGTAAAAACGAGCGTTCTTGCTGACTTTGCTTCCGAAAAACATGCAAAACGGGACGGAAAACATGAAATTTTGCAATAATCTTGCGCCACCCTTACACAAAACGACGATAATTTTTCCAATTTCATAGACAACGGGAAGACTGTATTTTTCTACATAAGCCCCCCTGACTTTAAAGCTGGATCCGCCCCAGGTAAAACGAGTTCGAGCCACTTAACAAATTAATTGGATTATTTACCTGAATAGCCCCGGTGAGTCCATCCATCACCAAAGAGAGGATGAGTAGCAATTCGCCGACTCCGAAGCCCGAGTCTTCGGCTGTTGAGGATGCCACATTGTCTTTGAGCATGAACAAGACAACGCCCAGTACTATAATGAAGACGAATAGGTACTTTTTGAGCGTGTAGCTTTTCCTGCCAACCAGAACCCCCAGAACCAGCACTGGGATTGGCTTGGCCGACTTGCCAACCACTTGGGTCGGGTAGGGAACCCACTGGAGGGCCATATTGGAGGCCAACATGGCCAACAGGTACGTTACAGATACACTGGAATAGTACAGCTTGGAGGTTTGGTCCGCGCTCTGCGGCCAGATGTAGAGAGCCGCTCTGGCTACCACGTAGTTTATGAAGCATTGCGTGCATACCAGTGTAATGGCAAATGGAAATCTCTGCGTGCTGATCTCTCTATTGCCCTCGCTATCGACTGTCTCAATTTCGTATTTCGCTCTTGTGACTTTTTCCAGTAAAATCCCGAAGTAGAAGTAGGTGGTGAAGATGCCCAGTGCATAGAAGATGAACCTTCGGGTTTGGTGGCTGTCGGCTTTCATGATGGCTCTTGTCGACGAGGGAACTACGGGAACAGGGAAATTTACCCATATGGATGCATGACGTGGATTAAGCCCCAAACTTTGCCATTTAAATGAGGATTGTGAATGAAATATCGGGCTGTTAGGGGTGAGGGGTTACCACCTACTTGAAGTGCATAAGGAAGGAACTTACTCTAGGCGAGGCGCTAGCAGATAAAGAACATTGAGGAAAAAACACAGCTTTCCATTAGAGTGGCTTAATTTGCCAGAAAACCTTGGTTAGGGCAACACCTCTACGTCGCATGATGATGCAAATCAAAGATGGCGGCAATGTGGGCTGTCCGCTGAATTTAGGACTGGTGTTTCAGTTATATTATTAAATACATAATTTTTCACATATAAAATTTTCTAATCTCCATTGATCCAAATCCCTTTTCTATCACTCGCCCATTTGAAGCAAAAACAGGGAAAGCTTCAAGCGCAGATCGAACAACAATAAAACCACACCCATAATAATACAAATTTATTGAGTTTATTTTAAATACACAATATTCCTTGCAAATTATAGTGGAAAATTTACAAAGCTATAATTTTCCCGAAATCAAATTGAAAAACGTTTATTACTTGGTATTCTGAGCATTTAAAATGTTATTGATGCGATGCGATACGAAGAACACAGGCAGCACGCAACATGGACCTTCAATATATTGGGTTCAGGGGCAATGTGTTATACTAGAAATGGAAATGAAAATTATTGAATAAATCGAAATTAATCCAATATTGGCACTCAATGGTCGTCTTTCAGTTCATCGCAATGGGATGAAGAAAGCTGTTCGATTAGCGGTAGAAGAATGAGAGAAAACCGAAGATTTTGAAAACAAAACTAAGCTTTTTGTGCTGGTTTTTTCCTTTTCAGTCAAAACCGTTTTCTAAATTATAAACAAACCGAAACTTGGACTAGAAATATTTCAATTAAAATCTTATCAAGTAAACTCAGCAATATAGAGCATAATATAAAAAAGCTATTTATATAAAATGTAGTAGTAGTAGTAGTAAAACTTATACACACGACATGTTATTATGAGCCAACGCACGTATTGCAAGGTGAAAAATTAAATCATTCAAGCCAATTTAGCGTTATCGACGATACTTTCGAAAAGTAAAAAAAAATATACATAATAGGTCAAAATATATTTGGTTACAATGCAGCGTACGATTACTGATGTTCCAAAGAAAGACAAATTTACTTGTTCCGAAGTTGAAATTATTAAGAATGACCTCAGCATGTCGAGATAACACAAAATAAACTAATGCTGATTTCGGTTTAAAAAAACGTTTCACCACACGTCATGTATGTTGTAGAGTACCATCGGATACCTTTAGTATCCGCAGGTAATTAGGTAATCTCCTAATTTCTCCACCACAGAGGCTGCCTGTTGTGGCTGGATTGGGTCTTCGTATAATGATACTACCACAGCTGCAACAGATAACCCCATTATTACAACCACTCCTTTTCATCCCATTTTTATATCGATCAATAATAAAATTTATCACCCGACTGGTGCGCTTAATAAAAGGATTCCACCATAATCCCAATAAGATAAAAATTATCGCTTGCGTTCTTTTAATAGCCTCTGATCAAACGAAAGACTGACTGACAAAATTACCTTGGGTCGTTTTCATACAGTGGACGCCCACTTTGCCCAATTTGGCCCTTATGACTCGGTCCGTTCCTGATAGATATATATATCTGTTACCGGCCAGCGTAACTCCGGACGAGGTGAGGATGTCTTGTTTTTCAAAACCCTGGACTAACTTCGCTAACTCCTCCTTTGACACCTGCAACAAACAGACATCATTCCAGCTTGACTTTTCCTCGACTAAAACCCCAATAAACTACATCATTGGCCTGTTGTGTTAATTGGCCCACTGCTTGGCCAGTCTTTTTGGGGCTGCTGGCCACTGTGCAAATTCCAGTGGGTCGAAGCTACAAAACCACTGGCCACTCGCACAACAATTAATCACTTGATTCACATGAAGCACGGCGTATTTTTAAGCAAAAAAATGCAGTTGTGATATTGTTTTCAAAAATATTAACACAATTATAGTTGCAGCTGGTGATCGGGGTGTCAGGCATTTGGTCCACTGTGTATTTAGACAACTCAATCTGGAATTTCTGATAAATCCTAATTAGCCAATTAAAAACGAATTTGATATTTTCAACCGTTTGGGAAATATTGAGTTCAAACCTCAAACATCTAAGAAATTTGCCTCGATGAATCGACCTTGTGGCACACACAGTGGCCAGGAATGCCAAAAACGTGAGGAAAATGTTCCCATTTACAATGCGAGTCCTTTAAATGGTTGCTCTAAAAGAACGAAGCTTAAAAATAGATAAAAACCCACTTTCGCACGTATTAACGAGCTTGAAGTCATGCCAAGCGAATGTTGGGAAAGCGGCCAAAATCCACTCAAAAACACCAGATTCCATTGGGTTATGAGAGAAATGCGAATGACTAGGAAAGGAAATGCAATACATCTACAACGGAACTTAAACTACAAGTCCCTTATTAATTGGGAATTTCATCTATGAATCACTTCCAATATGTGTTTTATGGCATGGCGGGTTAATGGGGGCTCAAACTGAATTTTAAGAACTCCAGATAAGACAAAGGCAGTACGTGCAATTATCGCATTTGAGAGCTTGTTGAACTGAGTCTTATCTGGCAGAAAAAACGAACTGAAACTCGATCCATTGTGCTCCCTGCTATAAAAATAGCAGTTGATATGGGCATATGGTCTGAAGGCCGACCGCCAAGGGGGCCCAACACATGGCTGCAACAGGAAAAAACAGCAAAAATCTGCTCCTCTTTGCTGCCACATTTCCAGGTTATCAATGGATTAAAGGATTTATTATTTTGCTGTTCCCCCTGGGGAATCAGGACTGTTTTTTCCATTAACGCACTGTATGATTTTAATAGTATATTACAATCAATTTGCGACCCATTGAAGCAAAATTTGTTCCGCTGTTCAATTGTGGGCGAGCGCCACATTTCAGCTCGCCCCTTACAAATAGAGCAGCCCAAGTACCGACAAATGATCATCAAAAAATGGCTCTATCTACTTAGGGAAAACTTTCCTCAAAATCCCGTTTTTATTCTAAATATGTAGATCAATTTGGGTGAGTTTCCCTCTTTAATCATGTGCATTCATAGCAGATCTGTGAAGAAATTCCAATTAATTTCACTGAACAAACAAGCTAATCGGTTTTTTTCACCGTTGAATCGCCGATTTCAAGAAGGTTTTCTGGGGAAAAAATGGATAAGATAGGCGGCAACGATGCATTTCGTGAAACAAATAACTGGCAACCAATTTTTAGGGAGAGTTGAAGTCTAACAAGCCCTGGAGACGCAAGCCACTCCTACTTGCGAAACGTTCGAAAGACGTCTGAAAAACTCGCCTGGTTAACGGTATATTAAGAAAAAATGCCAACTAATCATTGGAAGGAAACATGTATTTGGTCAAAATCTGGCAACTGGTCACCGATGGAGAAATTTTCCAGGAGAGCCAGATGCCAACTGAATTACTCATTTGGTTGAAAAACAAACTCGAGATATCCATTAGGGTCAAGAATGCTTGTAAATCCCTCTAAGCGTCTAGTTCTAGCCAAATAAGTCCAAGCCAAACCTGTTTGGCCTGTTACACTGTGCCGAATAGATTTGATTCTCCAACAAATGCTTGAGACTAGTTTTTGCAATGATCACTTTCTTGAACCGACTGCCTGAACGACAACCAGTGCAGAAAAACGGGGAAATTTTCGGGAGTCCTTGAAAGACTTTTCTCCATCCTTCAGCCTCTCCTTCCCATATCTTTCTTCTCCCGTCCGCCATTTTGAATGCAACCGGTAAAGGCTATTTTGGAGAAACTTGCCAACTTTGGCAGCTATTTGGCACCGAACAGCGGGCCTAGACAAAGTCAGCCAGGCGATGATTGACTAGAGAACAGCCAGCCGGTTGAATTTTCCTGATTAAAGCGAATTTCCTATCAAGATGTGCAGGCCCAACCCATATTTCCTTTGTACTGCGCCTAGAGGTTGCATCCATATATTGACCGGTTTTCAAGGGGGTAAAATCCGCATTCGCTGAAGGGGGGCCGGCACCGTTCGGGGGGCTCCTAAATCACAAGAACCTGTTCACTCACCTCGAAATCTTCCGATTTGGCCCAAACATTTCCATCGTGTCCTGCGATAGCGGCTTTGGTGACACATCTAGAAGCGAGGAGTTGTTTGTCTACGTAATCCTGCCAACTCATCTTTGTGGAAGTTATTTGATTAAGTTGGGGGCTGCTTGTTGCAAATGAGATCGATTAATTAACGCGAACTCGCCGACGAATTAACACTAACACAAGATCTGCGAATTTATTGAAAGAGAACCGACTTTGACAGTTGGCAAAGCTCTAGGGCGCAAGTTGAGTTTCAACATAGTGCCAACCGCCAGCGCGAAACCTTCAACTATGGTGCAGGTTGCACCTAAACATCCAAACGTCACTAATTCATAATTGTTTTCCTTAATTTGCCTTAGAAGAGCTTCTCCGCTTAGGCGTCGCCTTCCTGATATACCCTGCAAAGCTTTGGCAGCAATAGTTCACTGGGGAATATTTGTTTTATTAAATTGCACTTAAAATGGGCTGCCCTCTGCAGCCATGTAAACATGTCATAGCCATACCAGCAGCTACAAGGGCGCTAGATTGGTCAATTTTCCTCAACCTCTCCATCTAGAAAGTGTTGAAAACCTGCACTAACTTTCCTTTGGACCAGAAACCGGCAGCAATCGAGCATGTTCAGTTTTAATGGGTTTTTTCTCAATCCGGAGCCAACCGGGGTTGGCACCAGTGGCAAAAGACAGTTGATGACAATTGAAAGGTGTTGTTGATGGTGCACACACACAAAATGGTGGTTACAGTAGTGCTCCCGCTAGTATAAATGCTGTATTTTGGATTATTTGCGCCTGAATCGTTTGTGACCCAGTTGGTATAGCCGCAAGTTATTTGGACTTCAGGACGTTGAAATATGGAAAAGTTTTCCATAATTATCTAAAATTTCAATTGCCGGCGAAGTGGAATCACACTAGAATTGAAATCTTTTAAGTTCAACTTTTTGAGTGCTGTATGATTATGTACACGGTAAGCAAGCAGCCCTGGCCAGGTCAAAAAAGGCGTCAGTGATTTTCACATAACCCCGAAAGTGGCCCCACATGGAAAAGTCGCAGATTTCAATTGCTTGCAAACTGTCATGGAGTTGATGTTTGTATAGCCGATAGTTCACTCGTGTGCCCCATTTGGGTTTAATCAGTCTGTCTTTTATTCACAGCCCATTTTTTTAAAGACACATGAACAGCGTCCGCTATGGATTAAGCTTGAAAGGACTGCTTTAAGAGTTTGCCACCTTTTTCAGAAGGAGAATCGTCTCGTCCTCGTCCATTCCGTAATTTAATTCAAGTTTAACTTTTTCAGGGAACGACAACCGAGCAGGACAATCGCTTTAGCGATAAGGAGAAGAAACTGCTCAAGCAGATGAAGTTTAATGTCTGCTTAAATCAGCGAGTGAGTATCGATTTGTGAGTAAAAAGCTTGGGTTTATAGGAGTTTTTTTTCTATCTAGGTGGACATGTCCAAGATCAAACTGGACGTGATCAAGCCATGGATGGAGGACAAATTGACAGAAATATTAAAAATTGACGATGATGTGGTGGTGGACTTTGTCTGCAACCAGCTGCTGGATGAAAGAGTAAGAGCCAAGCAGATAACGTCCGAGCCATTGCTTACCTGTCGCTCAGTTTCCAGATCCAAAAAAGATCCAGATCAATATCACCGGGTTCCTGGAGCAGAAGAACGCGCGGGAATTCATGGCGGAGCTCTGGACGCTTCTGATATCCGCGCAGGAAAATCCCACAGGCATCCCCGACACTCTGATCGACCTGAAGCGAGAGGAAATGGCATTGAAAAAGGTAACACTGTACAAAAACTATTTGCAACTAGACACGTAATTGCAAATCTCTTGCAGGAGAAGGAAGACCGCGAGAAAGAAACTCGCGAACGCGACAGGGAGAAGTCGGAAAAAGAGCGCAAGTACAGGGATCGCGATAGATCAAGATCCAGAAGGTCCAGGTCGCGTTCCAGAGGTCGCAAGCGGTCTTCCAGCCGCCAGCGCAGCAACGCGAAGGGCAGAGACCGGAACTCCAGCCGCGACAAGAAGTCCCGAAGCAAAGACAGGCACTCGAGGACAAACGACCGGAGGTCCCACACCAAGGACCGAAAATCGAAGAGCAAAGAGCGGGCGTCAAAGAGCAAGAACCGGCAGAGTAGGAGCCGGGAGCGGAAGTCGCGCAAAACGGCCAGCAAGTCGAGAAGTCGGGAGCGGCGGTCCCCCAGCAAGGCGAACTCGCTGCGCAACAAGGCCGACCGATCAGCCAGCAGGGGACGCAAGTCGACCAGTAGGACCAGAAGGAGCAGGAGCGGCAGCAACGCGGAGAGCCGCCCAAAGTCCCAGGATCGTGCGAAGCGCGACAAACGCTCCAAGAGCAAATCGAGGCGATCCCACTCCAAGTCCAGCTCGCCTAAGCCGGAGGAACCGCCCCAGAACAACGGCAATGTCAGCCCGAGGAAGGAAAACGGAAAAGAAGACCCGGAACCGCCCGCGTCTAAACCAGCGTAAGCACAAACTCCTGTTTCCCAACGTGAACTCTTCCTCATCTAGACATGTAACATTGCAGCGAAAATCCAGGCCAGCCGATCTCCAAGCTCCAGGCCAAGCTGATGTCTTTGGCTGAAAACAACAACCGCTCTGCGGCCTCCCGTTCCAGATCTAGATCCAAATCCCGATCATCCAGCGCCACGTCTTTCAAGGGCAAATCCAGGTCCCGCTCCAAGGGCCGCGCCAAGGACAAGCGCGGCTCCAGGTCCAGTTCGCGCGACTCCAAAGACAAGTTCGAAATCAAGAAGAGCGAAAACAGCGTGCAGAAGAAGCGCCACTACCGCTCCAACAAGGACAGTTCGGACAGCGAAGCGGACAGAAAGAAGCGCCGCTCTCGATCGAGGAAACGCAGCCGGGATGCGAGCCGCAGGAGTGCCTCGCGATCCAAACGGTCCCTAAGTAAGAAGCGAAGTCTCTCCAAAAGGTAGGCGCTCAGTCACTGTTTTATACGCGGGTCTCGGGCAGCCAATCGACTGGTTGCTTGAGGTGCGACGGAGCTTGAATTGAATTCTTTCGGGCAATTTTCGATCAGGAGAAGTCGTTTCGAACATGTATTGCACATCCAGTTCTACGAATCTTTTGCATTCTCTATGGAAATTTCAACTAATTTTCGATATAGAACTCGCGATTGAGTAGCAAATACACTCACTTAGCTGGTAATAACGAAATTAAGCAATTCTGGCTGAGGAACGGAAAGGGCACCCAATGGGTATGTAGGCGAATGATCAGTTTGACAGACAATTTTAAACGCAACTAAAATTAATCGGAACCGCGCCAGCTGTCGCCTTCTGATAGTAATTGTTTTACTTCACTTACAGATGAATTTTTGGTTCCAGACGGAGCGGTTCAAGGAAAAGGAGCCCCAGCGGACGGCGTCGCAGCGCCTCCAGGGGCCGCAAGAGTCCATCGCATCGCAGGAGCGTGTCTCGCAGGCGCAGTCCTCGTGCCCGGCGCAGCTACAGTCGGCGGCGCAGCTTGAGCAGGTCCAGACGCAGCTTGAGCCGCAACCGAAGAAGTCGTCGCAGCAGAAGCAGGCGAAGCCCCATTCGGCGCAGAAGTCGCAGCTTGAGTCGCCGCCGAAGCCGCGATAGGTGCGTGCAAGGCCATCCATCTGAAACATTCAACTAATTGTATGTATCTTTTAAAGGAGGAACCGACGAAGCCGCAGCAGAAATCGGGGTTTCAGAAGGTCGCCAATAAGAGACCGCAGACGGTCGAGGAGCCGCGACAGAAGATCGCGTTCCAGAAAGCGTTCGGTGGATCGAAACAGTTCGAGGAGAAAGTCCTCCAACAGGGAGAAGGCCCGCAAAGCCAGTCCCAGTCCAGTGAAGAAGGACGAACGCAAAGAAAAAGAGGACTCGAAGTCCGGAAAAGTGGCGCAATTCATCCGACTAATCGAGGAAAAACGCGACGCGCCCGGTGGCAAAAAGTCCGAAGAATCGAAGAAAGTGGACAAGGACTTGAATGTTCAAGAAAAACGGAAAGGCGCCCATTCGGATGAGAAAGCGCATGAGAGTCGCGCCAAGGAAAAAGGTAAGAAATCCAAGTCGAGGAGCTCGAGTCCGCAGAAGTCCTACCCGATTCCTCCGCTGGGCCCCCCGCGCTATTCCAAGAGCCTGTCCAGGACGCCGTCGCCCTTCATTAAGGCCAATGAATTTCCGCCAAAGGGTAAATTGGAAAACTCTGTGGGCGACGATAAGAAGAAACGCCCCAAAGAAAAGCTGGAAATCAAGACGAAAAAGCGAACGAAGAAAGTGTCCCGATCTGAGAGCGAGAGCTCCAGTGATTCTGAGAGTGAGGATCAGAAGGAACGCAAGAAGAGGCGCACTAAGCGCCGGGCTAGAAAGCGCGAAACCAGCTCCAGCGATAGTGACGACGATGACTCGGTAAAAAGCAAAAAGGATCGCGCTAGCAGTGTGGAGATTGAGATGAGAGGCAAAAAACACAAAGAGCGGAGAAAGGACGAGGATAGTGCGGACGAAAAACGCGTCGTAAAGAAGCGACGGCAGAGCTCCGATTCCGAACCGGAGGAGAAAAAGAGCAAAAAAAAGCGCTCGGTGAGCTTGGAAAAACCAAAAAAGACCAAGAAAGACATTTCGAGCGAAAGCGACAGTCACAAAAGAAGCAAGAAGCGAAAAGACAGCTCGGATGAGTCGGACAGAGTGAAGTCGAAGCGCTCACGCAAGGATTCATCTTCAGAAAGCGATGACGATGTCAGCAAGAAGCGCAAACATAGAAAGCGAACCAAGTCCGAGAGTGAATCGGAGGAAGAAATCGAGGGCAAGAAACGCAAAAAGGACAAGAAGCATAAAAAGAAGAAGAAGCACTCGAAGAAACACAAAAAGCACAAGAAAAAGAAGCCGGAGAGCGAGGACTCTGAAAGTGAGTTAGACGAACAGGTCATCGAGGACGAGAAGAAATTGCGCGAGAAAGCCCTCAAGTCGATAAATAAGTTTAAGTAAATTTTGTGGTCAAGTCGTAAATAAACTTTAAAGCTGCTAAAATTTGCCTTTTTCCTGAAAGTCTGCTAATTTTTTTAGGCAAAAAGCGCCAAGAATTCAATAAGATATTGCCACTTACAGTTCAAAGTAGGCTGAAAGTTGCAATTTCTGGTCTAAAATTTATTTAGCTCGATTTTGATCTATGACGTGCCAAATCCAAGCGAAAATCGCGAATTTAAAGCCTTTAATGCAAAAAGTGTTGTCCTATAATCTTAACAAACATACTGTCAGCCGAAATTTACATCCAAAAACGTTTATCGGTCACAATGAAGAAAAAAACTGTATTAAATCACAAAAGGTCAAGCAAAAATTGGCTTGTGCTGGCAACTTCCGCCATTTATCAAAGAAAAGAGTAGAATTAGCATCATTAGCAAATGACCACACATCTTATGTAATATTTAAGTCGGAACTGTAAAAGACCTCGAAAATTTATGCGACGTATGTGGACTGTGTTGAGTTGCGCTTTTGATGCCGCTCTGTGAGTTAAAAATCATTGCGCCGCACCTCGAATTCCGCATGTGGCGGAATAATTGTTTTAGTATTATTGTATAATTTGTTATAAAGCACTAGGCTTACGATGTCCCTATACAAAATTTCAGCAGCTTTCAATAAAAAACGACTTTTTTAACATAGTAGATCAAAACATAAGCAATTTGCAATATGTCCTTATAGGAACTTTTCCAATTGAATGTATCCCTACTATCGATTCAGATACACCCTGTATATAAAACTGCCAGGAAAACACGTACATTTTTTAAAAACCTACCCGGTGTTTTTTAACTGAATTCATCACCGCCAATAAACTTAAACACCACATGTAACTGAACGATAATATAAATGTTTTCCATTGCTATAATCTTAACCAACATACTTTCAGCTGAAATTTACAAGCAAAAACGTCTCTCGGTCGCAATATGAATAAAAAAACAATTAAATCACAAAAGTTCAGACAAAAATCGTGAGTTTCAAGCGAGAAATTACTACTTTACCGTAAAAAATTATCTTGTAAGCTCACCAAACATACTGAACCTGAAACGTTCGGTTTATAAACAGTTCAGATTAAATAAGTTTTTACTTGTAAATTTCCAAACAAATGCACTAATTTCAGTAAAAATCCGCAATTTCTGCACAGAAATGTGAACATTGAACGCGCATTCCAGCTTAAAGCGTCATAAATTTGCAACATCCGAATGGGAATTCACTAATGCTTTCAACGTACAAAATCCGATTGAGGATTCGCGTGAAACCATTCAACGATTTCAAGGAAAAAGGAGTGGCTCGAAAGGACTAAGAAGGACCTGATGCTGGTTGAAAGCATGTCTTCGTCAGAGAGTTTTATTTTAATATTATACAAAATATTTTAAAGAAAAGCGATTAAAACTTTCCTTTCATGCTTCACGTGCAGGAACTGCAAATGGAAAGTTTCCGTTTGCACCTCCTGTAATTGAAGAAGCCCTTCCAAACCCCAATCAATTCTCTCCGAAGGTGTTCCCTATTCCTTGGGAAAGTCTTGATTGGATGTTGGAATGGCTTACATGGGAATCGGCGCCAAAAGTCTGTCGCCGGTGGAAACATGCTGGCGACCAAAAAATACGTCAAATACTTTTTTAAATATTAATTGATTACACATAAAATTATGAAAGAACCAAATAAAAAAAGGTGGAGTCTATGGAGCGTAAAACGCGACGCAGCTAACCCAAAGATACGATACGGCGCACTATGTAAAAGTCTCCGCGAATATCACACCTCAGGCAACGCTTCGACACATTTGCTTCAGAATGGCGCTCATCTGACCGCGTCTGATCTAAATGAGATCAGCTACGTTCATAGGCATCTCGGCGATATTTGTATTGTAAAACTTCTCTATGTCGTTGAGGTTGCGCTTGTCATCCTCAGTCACGAAGTTGATGGCAACGCCCTTACGTCCGAAACGCCCACCTCGACCAATTCTGGAAAGAAAACATGCTTACTACCAGGCGGATAATCAGTTGAATGCTTCAGAGCCTTACCTGTGAATGTAATTTTCTCGGTTTGTCGGTAAATCATAGTTGATAACTAGGGAAACTTGCTGGACATCAATGCCCCGAGCAAGCAAATCGGTGGTGATCAACACCCTGGAGGACCCTGTCCGGAACTGCCTCATAATAACGTCACGCTCCTTCTGCTCCATATCTCCATGCATAGCCGATACCGTAAAGTCCTTCTTGTGCATACTTTCGGTCAACCAGTCGACCTTGCGACGAGTATTACAAAAGATTACAGCCTGAGTAATGGAGAGGGTGTCGTACAAATCGCACAACGTCTCCAACTTCCAGTCCTCCTTCTCAACGTAGACGAAGAATTGCTTGATACCTTCCAAGGTAAGTTCTTCCTTCTTGACCAGAATGCGAATGGGAGCTCGCATGAAAGATTTGGTAACGTCCAGCACATCGGGCGGCATGGTGGCCGACAGCAGAATGACCTGAACATCGGCGTTCAACGTCTTAAATACATCATGGATTTGGTCTTTGAATCCCCGCGACAACATCTCATCAGCTTCGTCCAAGACAAACATCTTAATGTGCTGAGGGCGCAGCGCCCTGCGGTTAATCATGTCGAATACACGACCGGGAGTTCCTGAATAAGAAAAAATGATCAGTAAAACGATCCTTTGCGGCAAAATAGCGGCCAAACTTACCCACAACTACATGGACGCCAGTATCCAGCTTCCGCATGTCCTCTCGAACGTTAGTTCCGCCAATGCAAGCATGACACTGAGCGGACATGAAGTCGCCCAAAGCGATGACGACTTTCTGAATCTGCTGAGCCAATTCCCTGGTCGGTGCCAGAATCAAAGCCTGACATTCGCGCACAGTTGTGTCGATTTGCTGCAGAATGCTGATGGAAAACGTCGCCGTTTTCCCTGTTCCCGACTGTGCTTGGGCGATCACATCATGTCCCTTGACGCATGGAATAATGGCGCGTTGCTGGATGGCGGACGGCTTTTCAAAACCGTATGCGTAAATGCCGCGAAGAAGCTCCTCTTTCAGAGACATGTCGTCAAAGTTCGTCACAACTTGTTCCCAGTTGGACTCGATGATGCCGTCAGGGTCCATGCCTGGCGGTCCATCGTATGCAGGCTGCTCCTTCTCCTCGGAAAAAGACCCGGTTTTACCGTTCTTATCCCACTCTTCATTTCTGCAAGGAAAAATTTCTGGTTAAGTAAATGTTTTATGTAAAATATGCCAATGAACAGTGACAAAGGCGGGCCTTGGCAGCGGCAAAACCGCTGTCTCCTCGACAATAAAACATCGAGCATCAAGCTGAATAGAATGACAAAAAAAATCATCAAATCATCAATTAATTGGGCGTTTGCAATACCGTATTCGCGAGTTCAACTACCTACCGCTGCGAAACGTCAAATTAGTCATCAAGTGACAGTTGATACTTATCAGAATTGTTTATTTATTGGAGTTGATGACATTTATAACATAAAACACGACTTACACCTTTGTCGATCTGTTTCTATTTTTTTAAAAGCTTGCAAAAGTTGATCGGAACAAAACAATCACATGTAAACGTCAATGTGACACCAGTGTCAAATTAGTACTTAACTTGTGGTTCTAATTTTAACCACCGGGGGGCGTGTGGACCTTTCAACTCGCAAATAACCTCTGCAATCCGAACTAATTGTGGCAAGGACACAAACAACATAAATTTGACTATGCAAACTGCGTTTCATATTGTGGATATTTTCTTCGATTTTTATGGAAAAGTTCTTAAATCACCTGTTTGAAGGGTTGGGGACAAACCAAGTCCAGACGCCCCCTGGTGGTTAAAATTACAACTACAAGTTAAGTGGGAATTTGCCACGTGATTTGTCTTCGTCTAATCAACTTTTGCAAGCTTTTAAAGAAATAGAAACAGATCGAAAAGTGTGTACGTATTGTTGTAGGTAATAAATGTCATCAACTCCAATAAATAAAATGTTTAACAAGTCTACTTGAACTCGCGAATACCCCTTCCAACGTGACAATCCCCCCAGTTACGAAATTACCCAAGACTTCCAGGTTCAAATGTTCAAAAGACTTCGAGTTATGCTAGGCCTATGATCCAAAGACTGAATGACCTAGCTAGATCCTAAATAGCTTTATACGTTTGGGGGAGGGCAATTGGAGACCCAAAGAGATTTTACCCGCTCTAAAATGAGTGTTTGAGTGTTAAAACGTGAACAATTTTCCCGTGCCCCAAAGACCCACGTGCCAGATTGAAAAACCCTAGCAGGTAGCCATAACCAAAAAAAAAACCTGTGAATACGTAATTATATAACTGTAAATCAATTCGCGCTCAAAGGCTGGATCAAGAGATCGGGAGGCTATTTTTAGCGCAGTTCGCCCAAATGGAGACCTAACGGTAGCGGTTCTTCCCCAAATCGGGAGTTTTTCACGCCATGTTGGCATATATAAACCATGCCGGATGGACAATTCTCCCTCTTTGTGGCCTCCATTTGGACAAACCATGTGGCACAAACACAGCCTTTCCGATCGCACGCTTTACAGCACAACTACGGCTTCTACTCGCTACGTTAAATAATAGAAATTAAACAAAGTACTTGCCTCCGTTCGTGTTCTGACATGATCACTTTATCTAAAAGCGAAAGAAAAGGGATGTCGCCTGTCGAGTTGAAAGCTTCAAAAAGTCTGATATTCCTACGCGCTGACAGCTGGGGCAAACTGCACTGGAAAACCTGAAAGTTTAAGAAAACACTCACTTCACCTGCAATTTAGATGCTCTAGAATCGGTTTATCTACTGCCTGAACGAGGTTTCTCTATGCGAACGTGAATTTTGATGGGAACTAATTTCGGTGCGGAGCACGAGATTGCTTTAGCCGGAAATGGCGGATCCGGACACACGCGGTATTTTTGAATTCACTTTTTTCTAATCAACAACCACGGCCTGATTTCGATTCCTACTCATTCGCTTGCTTATTCTAGAAAATCCGCAAAATTAAAACATACCTTGAGACACAAGAAAGTCACACAACAATCTAGTTGAACAGCTAAGGGACAAACAACCCTTCCGCAATAAACCACTCGAGAAAATGGTTTTAATAGCTAATGTCAAAGCTGCCCAGTGCTTGGGCAATGTTGCCAGCAAAAGTCTTCGGCGTGAGGAATCAAAATGGCTGCCGAATGCAAGTTTTCTGTTTTAGTTAATCACTCACATCAATTAGGGCTGATTTACCCAGCCAGAAACAACGAGAATAAAAAATAGGTTTTTCTGAAAATAACCGTCACTTCGGAAATTTCCGAATAACAAACTCCAAGCGCCAATGTTGTCAAGAACTCAAAATCTATCTGGAGCGGCTCCAGTAGGGCGCCCTCTATTACGCAAAAGTGTAGCCGCCAACTTTGTAATTGACGTGGCGCGAGGAAATTAAGTTGTGAGTTTTTGGGAGAAAACCGGTAAGATTTGCTTTATTTTCACATTTATTCGCCTAAAACAATGCAGAACTATTGAAAAGCGGTCATAACGGCCCGGTTAGTTCGGTCAACATATGTGTGGTTAGGATGCTGTCCACGCCGGCGTCAAGCGGGGGCTGCGCTCTCAAGAGTCTTTGCACCACCGGCGAAAAGACGTCTTTATCGAGCTTTTTGCCCTTATTGTATCCTATAACACATAAAACTTTTAGATTAGTTCAATGACCGTAGACATGTAGAATCAAAAGTGCGTCTATGGGGCGCAGACTGTCAATGGCATCAGGCGCAAGGCACATTCTGACCAAAATATTTCCTGTTTTTCGGAGCAAAACATGTAACCTTACAGAAACGTTTCGAATTGCACAAATGTAACATATTATGGAAGCTTTTCAAAAAAGTTTCAGGAGCGTCTTTAGCGCATACGAGATTCATGGTTCTACGGCCTCCCATCGCGCATGGCATTTATTATCTTATAAAGCGGGGATAAGCAACAAGCGGCCCGTTTAACATGTTTATGTGGCCCGCCACGCATTTCTAAAATTGAATGTATTTTATCGACTTTCTTCCATCAATATATTGTTATAAAATCAATAATAATCGCACTAACGCAAAACGGTAGTTCGCACTAAAGCGAAACAATTTTTTGTTGTTGTTTTGTTTGTTGTGAGATTGAAAAATTTTTTCTAGAACCTTTTGTTGCTTGGAATTTCGGACAAAACCCCAATAATTTTTTTTGAATTTTTATCAAAAATATTTCCCCGAACACAAGGGCGGATCCAGGGGGGGCTCATGGGGGTCATGACCGCCCCCCATTCAATTCTCTATCTAACGATGCCAAAACGAATTCTGTGGCTCGAATAGTTCTTGAGAAACTTCGAAAAAAGCAGCGTCATGTTCAAGTGGATTTTGCAACTCAAAAATAACCACGTAAATCTAAAACTTATTGAATTCAAGCCTTTTTAGAGAAAACTGGCAGCATTTCCCCATCCATGGTTCACTTCCTAAAAAGGCCATTTATTTCTGTCTAGAATGATGTACACATGAGCGTTCTTGCTCATTTTGCCTCCGAGATATGAGCAAAAACGGGACGGAAAACA